CGGCGTCGCTCCGCTACTGCAGCGGACGAACCCACACTTCATCTGCACACCGAACTCGAGCCGCAGGAAGCCTCCGCCCCTTCCTTGCGCCGTCAACGTGCGGGTCAAGGTGCCTTCCCCTCTGTTTGGTCCTGCTTTCCCGTTACAGTTAAGGCGATCATCCCTTTCCTTCCGTGGGTCGCGGCCCATTTTCGCCAGAACCCACTCCACCGGCCGTGTCTGGCCGGCTTCCTCACGATTCCCCTCCAGCTGCGCCACGGTCATGAGCTCCTGGGTCCACGCCTGTGTGCGTAGGTTTTAGAAGTATTTTTCAATTGGTACATAGATGCCCAACTCCAAGAGGAATGAGGCCTTGCTTTCCACACACGTGGTGTAATTGGCTTAATAACACCTGCCTTGGAAGACTGTTGTTAGGAATAAAAGCAAAAATGCATATAAAACAGGCAGCAAACAATAGACACTTAAGGGCTATCATTAGGCTAGTCCTAATGTCCTTCCCCCCACATTTCTGCCCATGAGATATGCAGCAAATACTATTATGGATTCCCATCGCAGTGCTCTCTCAGGCTGTCTCTTCTCAGAATATTTTAATCCCTCTGGTTTTCTCTTCATCCGTCTCTTCTGCTGATCATTTAGTGCTTAGACCCCGATGGGAATAAATGATGAGGTAAGTGAAGAGAGCCAAGAAGAGAAATGAGCACTAAGATAGGGGGCAGCAGATCTGGAAACAGCTTCCCCAACCCTCTCTGCCCCACCGAGATCTGCTCCCCGTGATTGCTGACACCCCTTTCGTGGGCCCGGGGTGAGTTTATGACACATGGATGTAAACAATGGCCTGTAAGGTATAATCAAGTCCCTACAAATTTCAGGTGACCGCTGGAAAGAGCGCTCTGCCCACCTCTACTGCTTTCTTCATTAACACATGTCCCCTCCTCCTGACTTCCTTGGACCCCCAAACGCACATCACCATGGAATGCTTTCATTCCTTCCCTACAATAAAGGTGTAACTGGGCCTCCACCCTCCCATCTCCATTTCCCGCACTCTCCCCGCCTCCTCTACAGCCCTTCAGTCAAGGGCTCCGGTTTGGAAATTGCGAGGAGTGTGGAGTGGAGAGGAGTGTGTGGGAAGGTTGAAGTCAGTTCCTATTCTGACCCTGGTGGACTACAGGTAAGCTTCAACGGTAAGAGGACAGAACTATTGGAGCCAACATGTATTGGCTGCTTGCTGTGTTCCACACTACTAAGTGCTTTTGTGTTTTACCCTTTTAACTTTCAAAATCGCCGTATGAGATAGGTACTCTTATCCCATTTTACACATGAAAAAACGGACTTCTAAAGATTAAGTAACATGCCTATTGCCACAGTGCTAACAAGTGATGGTGCCAAGTATATGACCCTCTAGTATAATAAGCATATACGAGCATATACTATATGCACACTATACTGTGCATATAATAAGCATATACTAGCATAGCCATATATGCACATATATACATATATTATAAATTTTTATAAATGGCATGTTTGCATTAAATACATATAAATATAAAAAAGAAATTTACACAGAAGTAAATTGCTTAGATGTATACAAGAACAACTAGTTAAAAGACATAATGAAGGAATAAAGGCCGTGGTTACAATACGGGGGGAACAAGAAAGATAAATTTCCAGGAATACAATTAACAAAAATGTGCAAGGTCTGCATGAAGAGACACATTTAAAGCTCTCTAGGGACACAAAAGAAGAACTAAACAAATAGAAAGGCAGGTAGTGTTCTCGGATTGAAAAAACTCAATTTCATAAATACATAATCATTCCTAAATTAATCTAAAAACTTAACATGAACACACAAAAAAAAACCCAATATGTTTTTTAATTAGAAACTCGGATGCTAAAGTTAATATAGAAAATTCATTTTAAATTGACCAAAAAAATGTTTGAAATTGACAAGAAAAATGAGAAGGTAACTAGCCATACAATATTTTTAAATATTTTAAAGCTATAACACTCAAAACAGAGAGTAGTGTTGTCATATAGATAAAGCAATGACACCGAATAGAAATCACAGAAATAGACCTGAATACATAGGATAATTTAATACATGATAAGCAATCAGGGGAGGTGGGGAATGAACTATTGAGCAAATGGTTTTGAAACAACTGAATAGACAGCTGGGAAAAAATAAGTAATATCTATTCCTCACACTTTACGTGAGGATAAAACCTAAATGGAGCAAATATTTCAATATTAAAAAATAAAACCATAACAAATAGTAAAAGAAACAATGGAAGAATTCCTTCATAATCTCAGTAGTGAAGTTCTTACTAATTGTATCACAGAATCCAAATGCCCGAAAAGGAATAATGACAAATTCTACCACAGACAAAACATTGTTTGACTGCATGGAGGGAAAACACAAATTCGGAAGATAAATGGCAAAATGGAAAAAATGTCCATCTCATATCAAGATAAAGAACTCATTTCCCTAATATATAAAGAGCTCCTATAAATCAATAAGAAAAATATGACTTCTGTTTTCTAGTCTGACATGTAAAGACGGGGAAGTCATCATTCCCTCCAGCCCCCTCTAGCCCTCACTGTGGGGAAAAGGAAATACCCAGTTCGGGATTCCTAAAAGACTGAGACCTAGTCATAGGACTAGAGAACACTTCCCCTGCCTCTACATCTTTCCACGACACCCAGAGGGCTCCAGCATAATACAGGGATTATTAGAGCTACAAGAACGGCAAGACTCAGACCTTATTTAGGAAGCCTCCCAGATAAAACAAGGGAGATGAAAAAGACACCGGAAGAAATTTTAGTCCCTGACCCCACAGCAACTGCAAACAGTAAAAACAGCCTAACTCTTGGCCAGATAAATATAAAATCTCACACAAAAGCCTTGTCTACCTAAGTAATTTTTACCCAATACATCATATCCAGCTTTCCACAAAAAGGTTAAAAGGTTAAAAAAAAAAAAAAGCACAGTGTACAAAGACAAAGTAAGAGTTAGAAGTTTTGGAATTATCACACCAGGAATTTGAAACAACCATCACTAGGGGCACCTGGTGGTTCAGTCAGTTAAGCATCCGTCCTTGGCTCAAGTCATGATCTTCACAGGTTCGTGGGTTTGAGCCCCACACTGGCCTCTGTGCTGACAGCTCAGAGCCTGGAGCCTGCTTTGGATTCTGTGTCTCCCTCTCTCTCTGCCCCTCCCTCGCTTGTGCTCTGTCTCTCACAAATAAACGTTACAAATTTTTTTGAAAAAAACATCATTAATAGGTTAAGGTCTCGGGGCGCCTGGGTGGCGCAGTCGGTTAAGCGTCCGACTTCAGCCAGGTCACGATCTCACGGTCCGTGGGTTCGAGCCCCGCGTCGGGCTCTGGGCTGATGGCTCAGAGCCTGGAACCTGTTTCCGATTCTGTGTCTCCCTCTCTCTCTGCCCCTCCCCCGTTCATGCTCTGTCTCTCTCTGTCCCAAAAATAAATAAAAAACGTTGGAAAAAAAAAATTAAAAATAGGTTAAGGTCTGTAATGGAAAAAGTGGATAACATGCAAGAACCAATAGGTGATGAAAGCAGAAAAGAGAAAGGTAAAGGGGAGAATCTACGGGAAGTGCGAGAAATCCGAAACACTGCAACACAAATGAAGAAGGCCTTTGATGGGTTCAGCAGGGCACTGAACACAGTCAAGGAAGGAACCAGTGAGCTCGGAATATATGTCAATACCAACTCCTCAAATTGAAACGCGGAGATAAAAGAAAGAAAACAATGGAACAGAATATCCAGGAACTGTGGGAAAACGACAAAGGAAGTATCACACATGTAATTGGAATACTAGAAGGAGAAAAAAGAGAGAAACACAGAAGAAATATTTGAAGAGATAACATTTCAGAAATTTCCAAACTTAATGACAGACTCTAAGCCACAGATCTAGGAAGGTCAGAGAACAGTAAGTAGGACAAACCCAAAAAAATGTACAGTGTACCTCACGCTCAACATATATCCATGTCTACAGTGTAGACAAAGACAAAGAGAAAATCTTGAAAAAGACTAGAGGGGGGGCAGGGAATCCTCCCTATAGGGGAACAAAGAAAAGAATCACATTGGACTTTTCTTCAGAAACCATGCAAGCAAGAGGAGAGTGGAATGACATATTTAAAGTGTTGGGGGGACAAAAGAAAAATACTAACGATAGAATAGTTTACAGAAAATACAAATGGTTCTTAAACATTAGTAAATAGTTTCAATTCCATTTATAATAAAAGAAATGTAAAATAAAACTGCAGATATACCATTTTTGCTATAATTTGACAACTATTTAAAAAATAATATAAAATACTGTGTTAAGAGTTTGGGGAATTCAGATGCTCTCATATACCACTGTGGAGATGAAGTTGTCACAGCCTTGAGGAAGGGCACTTTTGATAATATCTACTTATATATCACAACTGCACAGATCCTTTGACTCAACAATCTCTCTTCTGGAAATTTATCTTCAGTATCTATATACACATGTACAAAATCCTGTGTGCACAAGATTCCTCACCGTAGCACTCTTTGTAGTCGCAAAAGACTGGAAACAGTTCATGTGTCCATCAGGAACAGGTTATGGGGCATCTGGGTGTCTCAGTCAGTTGGGTGTCTGATTCTTGGTTTTGGCTCAGGTCATGATCTCAGGGTACGTGAGACTGAGCCCCACGTGGGGCTCTGCGCCACTCTCTCCCCGACTCAGAAGCATGCATGCACACTCTCTCTCAAAATAAATAAAGTTTAAAAAATGAATGACTGGTTACATGAATTAAAATAATTCCATAGGGGCGCCTGGGTGGCTCAGTCGGTTGAGCGTCCAACTTCGGCTCAGGTCATGATCTCACAGTCTGTGAGCTCGAGCCCCGTGTCAGGCTCTGTGCTGACAGCTCAGAGCTTGGAGCCTCTTTCAGATTCTGTGTCTCCCTCTCTTTCTGCCCTTCCCCCGCTCATGCTCTGTCTCGGTCTCGGTCTCGGTCTCGGTCTCTGTCTCTGTCAAAAATAAATAAACATCAAAAAAAATTTTTTTTAATAATTCCATAAAATAAAATCTCAAGCAGCTTGGTAAAGGAAAAAAAAAAATAGGGAAGGTTTTTGTATGCTACCATGGACTAAACTCCAAAGAATACTGTTGAAGAGAAAAATACAGTCCAGAATAGTATATGTGTTATGGCATCATTTATGTCCTAAAGGAAAACCTTTATATTAATACATATAAATAATATCTCTAGAAATATATATAAGAAACAAAGACAATAGCTTTGCTTGTCTGCTGAATATCATATACCTAGGGGACAATGAATAGGAGGGAGAATTTTCACTGCATACACTTTCTTACCATCTTGAACCACACAAATGTAGCGTTTCTTTACAAAAACATAAGCGCGGCTTAACTTTTTTACGTAATTACATATTCCTCTTTGGAAGGAATGGAAGTACAGCACCTGGTCTTGGGAGGAGCTGCAGAAAATGTGATCAGGGAAGACTTTTCTGCACACGACCCAGGTTCGTGAAATAACACATCTCTGAAAATGTAATAGAGCCAATCTCCAGATGCTGCTCCTTTCCGTCTCTTTCAGGACAATTCTTGTGTGTCCTTAGCAGTGTTCAGCATTTTCCCGGTTCCTTTTACCTTTCTGCCTCTCCTGGTTTCTCCTATCATAAAATGTGACCGGCAAAGTCCTAGGGCTTTCTTCACTTATAACTGTCCCAATATTCGATCACGTTGCCGGTTCAAAATGTCCCACCTTCCGCTCCGAGTTCATTCTCACGGCCTGCAAAGCTGCCCAACTTCCTGCCGTAACCTCCCCTCCTTGTTTACCTCTCCGTTCCCATGCCTCTCCACTTTCCTTTTGGTCACTCCAGCATAACTCATCTTACTTCTTTTTCTTGCCTCTTTCTCTACTTCCCCCCACCCCCACTTTTAGAATATGGATGGGGGATAAGTAACAACAGCAACAATAATAGTTACCGCTCAATACACGCCAAGAATGTCACTTGCCCTATTTCATTTAAAACTTCATTACACTACAAATTCGACATTATTACCTCTGCTTGTTAGGGTTGAAGAAACTAAGGCTTAGAGGGGTTAAGACACTTGACTGAAGTCACACAGCTGAACAGCGATGAAGCAGGATCCTAACACGGACCTTCCAACGCAAAAGTCTGCGTTCTCCACTCCTAATTCTTTGCAGTTTAAGATTAATTTGTAACCAGATTCCCACTGAGTTATCTGTCTATATCCTCTTCTCTATTTTTTTTCCTAACTCTGCCTTTGGTTATCATTAATAAGAATGCTAAATTTAACGGAACATCTATCTACTTCATTTCTTATAGCTTGATGCTTTTTAATTGCCAAGTTTCTAATATTTAATAAGTACCTAAAAACATAAGACATAGGAAGAACAGAAAAAGTATAAAATAAAGTTACATTAAGAAGCATAAAATAATATCAGAGGTGTGACTGACATTTCTGGAAGTCATATATCAAATGAAGTAAAGGATGAGTGAAAAAGAAGAGGCATCTCATTCCAATTATCTACCTACTAACATAAACGTCATACTTTTATTCAACAGTTGCTTTTCTGGGTCGCCTGGGTGGCTCAGTCAGTTAAGAAGCTGACTCTTGGTTTCAGCTCAGTTCATGATCTCACAGTTTCATGAGTTTGAGCCCCAAGTCTGACTCTGTGCTCAGAGCCTGTTTGGGATTCTCTCTCTCTCTCCCTCTCTCTGCTCCTCCCTCACTCGCTCTGTCTCTCTCAAAATAAATAAACTTAAAAAAAACTGACTTAAAAATAAATAAATAGTTGCTTTTCCATTTACATCAAAATCTCTTTAGAGTGGGAGAAAACATCTAGAAAATGTTTTCTTTTGTACAACCTATATTAATTTATATCCATGCATGTCTAGATATTATTGATTGTATGGCAGATATTTAGAAATATGTAAGTTCCTGCTGATGCTATATTCCACTAGAGAGCGTGTCCCTTTTCTTCTTAGATATGAGTGGCTGATCATGTGAATCCAATCAATAATTGAACTGGGCTGGGGCTGGGTTGCAGTTTTAGTAAGACTCTACAGATCTTTGGTTCACCCAGTTCCTTGAGTATAGCCCTCCCTACTTCTGATGGAGAGCCCAGGGGGTGTCTGTTTCCTCAACTCTAGAAGAGTTCAGACATTTTCAAACCAACTTTCCAGGTTCCTCACCCTTACAAAGCTTCAAAATCTGGCAAAAGTCTTTTTTTTTAATGTTTATTTGGGGGGGGGGGGCGGTGCAGAGAGAGAGGGAAACACCGAATCGGAAACAGGCTCCAGGCTCCGAGCTGTCAACACAGAGCCCGAAGTGGGGCCCTAACTCACGAACCGTGAGATCATGACCTGAACTGAAGTCCGACGCTTAACCCAGGAATCCCAAAATCTGGCAAACGCCTTAAGGCCAGGAAGAAACAGCCATGTGCTTGAAGCGGCCCGATCCCCCAGAGGCATCTTGCTTTTTAAGAACATAAGCCTGTGGGAGGTTTCATTTGCCCCTTAGAAACTTTCAGCTTCACTTCCCCGCATCCTATGAACCCTGAGAACTCAGCAAACGTCCTGTGGAGAAAACCAGCTTTGAGGGTGAAGCCCCTCAAGTTTGTAATATTTTCACACTAGGGCCCCAGTTGGTTAGAGCTTTGTTGGTTTCTCTTACCTTTACAAGGACCCCCTGCCCGAGCCACGCCTGATCCTCAACCTGTGCCCAGAATCAATAAATGTCACCAGGACCAAAAACATCTGTGGGTCTGCAGCTTACCTGCAAACAACTTCTCTCTCTCTGTGATCTTAGTTCATCTACTACTCATTTCTTCCACAACCCAGGGGCGCCTTTCCAGATTCATTTTTGTAATTTCTCTAGTTCTTCCTAGTTGTTACAGTAGAGTTACTGGCCGGCCTCAGGTAACTGCACAGTATCCACAAGCAGAAGTTTCACATTTTATTTCTGAAGATGACAGGATTATTACGATAAGGATTCTACCTTATATGTCATGATGTTTTGTAGTTTTCGAGGGTGTGACACATCCACTATCCCAATGTTTACCAGGTCCGTGGCATAGGGTAAACTAGGGTACCCGACTCGGCGGGACATCTCTGAAGCCACACCCGTTGGGCACAACCACCCACGGGGAAGGGAGGAGGGTTCTCCTCCGTTCTTCCGAGACCTGGCTTGTCTGCAGTCCCTCTATATGAAGGACATGAAAACAAATGGGAGCTTATTTGCCAGGCTACACAGCATAGTCTCCAACAACGGACTCACGTTTGTTAGTGTCCGCTTACAAGAATGCTTGAATGCACACAGATTCAGGCTGATTTCAGGTTATTGGTGAATCACCTGAGATCTTCATAAAGGCGGGTTTACAGCACTTATGAAACATTCACCACAGACAGCATTTTTCCACCGGGTTACTGATTGGAAGAAATGCAAAATCAAAACAAAAAACAAAAACACACAAACAAATAGAAAACAGAGAGGGGGACAAACCATAAGAGACTCTTAAATATAGAGAACAAACTGAGGGGTTGCTGGAGGGGAGGTGGGTGGGGGGCCGGGCTAAAAGGGTGGTGGGCACTAAGGAGGACACGTGTTGGGATGAGCAATGGGTGTCGTGTGTAAGAGATGAATCACCGGGTTCTCCTCCTGAAGCCAAGACTACACTGTATGTTAACTCATTTGAATTTAAATAAATTAACTTAAAAAATAATAGTAACATCCCAAAATTTTCTAAGGAGACACACACACACACACACACACACACACACACACACACACAGCAGTAAAACTGTACCCTTTATGAACCTCCCGGCACATTAATTTCATGAATTATGCTGGTATGTAAACTTACCTCTAGAGAACCATGCTGGCTTCTCGATATTACAGAGCTGGGAGGATATGTTTATCCTTACTATCTCTCTAGACAGGTTTCCCAAGCTGACCTTTCGAAGAAGTGGAATGTACACCATCTTTAAGTACCTTCTAGATAGCTTCTGCGATTCGACAAAGCCCCTGTTGCTGTGGCAGAGTAGCTGCTATTAAGCTGAGCTGGTCTCTGGCGTGGTAGCCGGCAACACTTACGTGGTATTCTCTGAAGGAGATTCAGGAAGTCCCTATGGTCAGAAATCCTCTCCCAGCATCAGTGCAATTCTTTTAGAAATCGGAGAGGGGAGGAGAGCAAGTCTTAGTCATAAACTGGTCAAACCCAGAAGCAGCACAGTTAATATCAGCTTGTGTGCGAGACTCAAGAATAGTTACACAGCGTGGGTTCAAAGAAAACTCAAAACTAGAGCCACGCTCAGCACACGACATCACCACAGACAGTTAATGCTGGGGGGGGGGCATTATTATTTGCAGTACATGTGAGCTCCTTGAGGGCAAAGGAAGTAAAATCATGTTTTCGTGCTATAATGTGATCACATGCGATTTTAATCAGCCATATCTGGGAATTGTTTGTTTATTTTTTTCATGTAATATATTTAATGTAAGGGAATTGTTTATTCTAATGTGGCACGATTTGCTTCAGGACACAGCAAAACAGCAGAAGTTCCTTAGTATTTCTGAGTATACCCCCAATGGAGAGAATGCTGTATTCGGAGTTACTTCTTCATGTGAAAAAGAGATTCAGCTTGCTGTGCTCATTCTTAATCTCTGAGCATTTCTTTAATCGTAGCTGAATTGTACTTATTTATGCACTCAGCTACCCATTTTACTTTGCGCCCTTCCAATGGAGTTGGGTGATGATGTGGCACTTTTGTCTGTCCATCGTAAGTACGTATCCGATTACGTGGATGTCGAGTGGGATGGCTACCAGCGACTAGCCCGAAGCCTAAAACCGTGGCTCTCCAGAGTTCACTTTTCCTCAGTAAATATCATTGGGATGTGACCTAAACTTGAAAACAGAAATTGAAGTAAAACAGGAATCGTCACGCCCCTAAAGAAAAAAGGCGCGCTTCACTTGTCAAGTTTCGGGAAAATACTGACACCATACGATACGATATGGAACGAGCTACTGAGCCTTTGCACGTTCTTTCTCACAGAACAAGATGAACAGGAGTGCTCTCTCAACCCATCAGTCCCGTTAGCCACGAAAGAGAAGATGGCGTAAAACAAGCAAAACAAGACTGCGTGGCAAAGGAGAAGGAGCGTATTTTTCAGAAGGCCTGCCATCGGGCAGACTGGACAAGCTCTTGAGGGACTCCCAGGCCAGCTTCCTCATCTGTAGCCCGGGGATGAAAAGACTTGCCCTATGCCTGTTTGCAGGATAAAAAGAGAGCCCGTGGAAAAGGTCGCGCATCTGAAAGGGCCCCACAAAGTTACATCTTATTAATGAGCGCTAATCGATTTTGCTTTTGTCAACAGAAAACTAAATAAACAAAGAGAAAATGAGATTTATGAAGATTCAGTCGTATCAAGAGAGGAAGCTGGGAGAAATTTTAAACACAGCGTGACTGCCTCTGCACAAAAACATTTGCACGGGGTGGGGGTTCGGGAGGAGAGGAGCCTCCAGGAAATGCACCGAAAGCTGACACGAGTCATGTTCTGATCGCGAACGCGAGTGTGTGCGCCTTCCGTTTCCCACATTTTCAACAGTGTGTTTAATGTGACTTATATGAGAATACTTTTTTTTTTGAAAGCCAGACGATGCCTTTTTCATAGAAATTACCCACTTCCCAGCAAAGACATTTAAAATGTTGTTTTAGATGCCCCAGAGGTGTTTGTAGCAATTGCTAATATGACGTGCTTCATTCAACTCATCACTTATTGAGCACCACGTGCCAGACTCCAGAAGGAGACAGAATAAATGAGATAGAGGCCTGTCTTCCCTCTGTCCCTTGATAATAAACGGTGGTTGTTCTTCTGTTGTAAGTCAGCTTGAGCATTAAGGCTTAAGGGGAAACAGAGGAGGGAGCGAAAGAGGGAGGGGGAGGGAGAGATACATATTCCAACAACTGTGAGGGCCGGCAAGGCGAGTTGAAAACCTGCGGGGCAGGCCTGCAAGCCAGAAACTCGGGAGCAAAAGCTGACGCTGCTGTGGACAGGCGAAAGGTTTCCCACCCCAGGGAAACCTCAGTTAATGTTGTTAAAGGCTTTCAACTGATTGGCGCAGGCCCACCCATATTATTCGGGATAGTCTTTACTTAGAGTCAGCTGATTATACATGTTAGCCACGTGTATGAAATACCTCAGAGCAACACCTAGATAAGCGTTTGATTAAATAACTGGGAACGATAGCCTCGCCAACTGGACACATCAAACTGACCCTCAGAGCCTCTCAATATTCTCTCCCACCTATGCTAATTTAGTTAACACGACTACTTTCTCAGCTCATTTCAGACCTCACCAAACACAGAACTCTTAGGAAATAGTGCCCTTGCTCCATCCCTGCCTTCCTTCCAAGGCCTGCTCAACACAACGCTTGGTCGATTGGGAACTTTACACTTGACATATTCTTATTTCAGGTAGGTGGTTGTTTTAAATTTGGTGACGACCAAGGTAGCGAGGCACTGCAAAAATCGGTGAAAAGCAAAATCCGCTCCCTGTGAACCACAATGTCAAATGTGAGGAGGCCAAAGGTGGAGAAGAGCTATCACTCCCACACTGTAGGCTCCCAAGGTTTTCGACTGTTTTTCTTCATCAAACTTTATTTTTATTAGACGATCTCTTATTTAAATTTATTTTAGCCTATGGTCCCTTATTTATGCGACTAGCCTTCCTCATGCCTTATGTGTCTACACCAGGGGTTCTCAACTGGGGTGATTTTGCACCCCCCACCCGCACCCAAGGGGCTTTCTGACATTCTCTGGACACATTTTTGGTGGCTACACTTGAGGTTACACGGTAGAGGCCGGGGTGCTACTGAACATTCTACAGTGCACAAGACAGGATCCCACAACGAAGAATGATCCATCCCCAAATGTCAATAGTGCGAAGGTTAAGAAACCCTGGTCTAGACGATACTGGTATGAGTTCTGCCACAAATTCTGATCAAGTTCCTCAAACACTAGGTCTATGGAGAAAATAAGCTTGTTAAATTCCCTTAATCTTTAGTTTCCGAACTTGGCTGAAATTACTCTTTAAAATCATGTCAGAGTTTTTGGAAGGGTGAAATGAATAAAATATGTTCACTTTTAAAATGGCTGAAAATATTAATGTTCTGAGTCAGTGAAAGTTACTGATTGTAGTTAAACTATTAAAACTTGAGAGGCGGCTGGCTGGCTCCGTCTGTAGAACACAAAACTCTTGATCTCAGGGTCATGGGTTTCAGCCACACGCTGAGTAGAGAGATAACTTAAAAATAAAAATCTCTAGGGGCACCTGGGTGGCTCAGTCGGTTGAGCATCCGACTTCGGCTCAGGTCACAATCTTGCAGTTCATGAGTTTGAACCCTGCGTCGGGCTCTGTGCTGACAGCTTAGAGCCTGGAGCCTGCTTCAGATTCTGTGTCTCCTTCTCTCTCTGCCCTTCTCCTGCTCATGCTCTGTTTTTCTCTGTCTCAAAAATAAATAAAACATTAAAAAAAATTTTTATCAAAAAAATAAAAAATAAAAATCTCTAAACCATTACAACTTTAAATATAGTAGTATGTATGATTTAGTTTATCATGAAACATAATTTACATTATTTTTTTAAATAACATAACATTTATTTAAATATTTAATTTAAATATTAAATATTTAAATAACATATTCCAAGTGATTTATTCAATTTTCATTCACTATTTTTTTATTTGTATTTATTTATTTATTTATCTATATAATTTATTGTCAAGTTAGCTAACATACAGTGTATACAGTGTGTTCTTGGTTTCGGGGGTAGATTCCCATGACTCATCGCTTACATACTCATCAGTGCTCATCCCAAGTGCCTTCCTCAATGCCCGTCACCCATTTTCCCCCCTCCATCGTCTCCCCATCAACCCTCAATTGTTCTCTGTATTTCAGTCTCATGGGTTTGCTTCCCTCTCGGCTTGAAACTATTTTTTTCCCCTTCCCTTTCCCCATGGTCTTCTGTCAAGTTCCTCGTATGAGTGAAAACATATGATACCTGTCTTTCTCTGACTGACTTATTTCACTCAGCATAATACCCTCCAGTTCCATCCGTGTTGTTGCAAACGGCAGGATTTCATTCTTTCTCATTGCCAAGTATTATTTCCTTGTATATATAAACCACATCTTCTGTATCCATTCACCAGTTGATGGACATTTGGGCTCTTTCCATATTTGGCTATTGTTGAAAGTGCTGCCATAAACATTGGGGTACATGTGCCCCTATGAATCAGCACTCCTGCATCCCTTGGGTAAATTTCTAGCTGGGTCATAGGGTAGTTCTATTTTGAGCTTTTTGAGGACCCTCCACACTGTTTTCCAGAGCGGCTGCACCAGTTCACATTCCCACCAACAGTGCAGGAGGGTTCCCGTTCCTCCACATCCTCGCCAGCATCTGTAGTCTCCTGAGTTGTTCATTTTAGCTACTCGGACCAGTGTGAGGTCGTATCTCAGTGTGGCTTTGATTCGTATTTCCCTGATGAGGAGTGACATTGAGCATCGTTTCATGTGTCTGTTGGCCATCTGGATGTCTTCTTTGGAAAAGTGTCTTTTCATGTCTTCTGCCCATTTCTTCACTGGATTATTTGTTTTTTGGGTGTTGAGTTTGGTAAGTTCTTTATAGATCTTGGATACTAACCCTTTATCCGATATGTCATTTGCAAATAGTTTCTCCCATTCTGTCGGTTGCCTTTTAGTTTTGTTGATTGTTTACTTGGCAGTGCAGAAGTTTTTATCTTGATGAAGTCCCAATAGTTCATTTTTGCTTTTATTTCCCTTGCCTTCGGAGACGTGTTGAGTAAGAAGTTGCTGCAGCTGAGGTCAAAGAGGTTGTTGCCTGCTTTCTCCTCTAGGGTTTTGACGGTTTCCTGTCTCGCATTTAGGTCTTCCATCCATTTTGAGTTTATTTTTGTGTATGGTGTAAGAAAGTGGTCTAGTTTCATTCTTCTGCGTGTTGCTGTTCAGTCCTCCCAGCACCATTTGCTGAAGAGACTGTCTTTTTTCCATTGGATACTCTTTGCTGCTTTGTTAAAGATTAGTTGGCCATACATTTCATACATCCAATTCTGGGCTCTGTATTCTATTCCATTGGTCTATATGTCTGTTCTTGTGCCAGTACCATACTGTCTTGAGGATTATAGCTTTGTAGCAGAGGCTGAAGTCCAGGATGCTGATGCCTCCGCTTTGGTTTTCTTTTTCAACATTACTTTGGCTATTCGGGGTCTTTTGTGGCTCCATACAAATTTTAGGAATAAACCTAATCAAATATGTAAAAGATCTGTATGCTGAAAACTATGGAAAACTTATGAAAGAAATTGCACTTGATCTTAGCCAAAAGGCCGAGAAGCGATTAAAATAAATTGAAGAAGACACAAAGAAATGGAAAAACATTCTATGCTCATGGATTGAAAGAACAAATATTGTTAAAATGGCAAGACTACCCAAAGCAATCTACACATTCAGTGCAATCCCAATCAAAGTTGCACCAGCGTTCTTTTCATTTACCGTTTAATTGAACTTGTATTCAAAATCTATTCAAAATCTATTTCATCTCAAAAGTAAAATAAGAGGAAGTTTTTTAAACTATAACTGTAGCACCCTCATGCCCCATGAATGTAATTCATAAGTAACACAACATATATTTTTCTGCTAACAATCCTATATATTTATCACAAAAAAAAAAAAAAAAGGTTGAAAATACAATGAAAATTGTGTGGTTTTTATCATCCATTGTATTAGTCAGGGTTCTACATATGCATATACATAGAGAGATATTTACTACATAGAATATTATTAGACTTTATATATAAAGATTACATATGTATGAAGATTATTATATAGAGACAGATTACATGAAGAGACTTATTATAAGAAACTGACTTATGTGATTACAGATGCTGGCTAAGTCCGAAATCTACAGAGCTGACATTGCAGTTCACGTCTAACGGCTGGAAGCTGCCAAGTGCAAGAGGCAGTGCCTAGTTCAAAGGCTGTCTGGCTGAAAGATTCTTTCTTACTCGGAGAAGGTCAGCCTTTTGTTCTACGCAGGCTATACACTGATTGGCTGAGGCCCACCCACGTTTATGGAGGGCAGTCTGCTTCAACTCAGTCTACTGATATAAATGTTAACCTCATCCAAAAATACCCTCACAGAAACACCTAGAATAATGTTTCACCAAATACCCGACATAAATTGACACATAAAATTAATCACTATGGCCATTCAGGAGAAAAAAAAAAAAAAAGACACCTGGAAAAGGGGGAAAAATTATAAATAACTTACAATATCCAAGATATGGAAACAACCCAAGTGTCTTTCCAAAAATAAATGGACAAAGAAGATGTGGTGTGTGTATATATATATACACAATGGAATATTACTCCACCGTAAAAAAGAGGAGATATTGCCATTTGCAACAACACAGATGGACGGATGGACCAAGAGAGTGTCAGGCTAAGTGAAACAAGGCAGACAGAGAAAGACAAATACTGTATAATTTCACTCGTGTGTAGAATCTAAAAAAAAAAAAAAAAGAAAAAACAAAAAGAAGAAATCAGAGAGTAAACTGATGGTTGCCAGAGGGAAGGGGGTACAGGGTTGGGCAAAATGGGTGAAGGAGATTGGCGGGAGATACAAGAACAAAAGGCACAGCATAGGGAACATAGTCGATGATATTGCGACAGTGCTGTGTGGTGACAGATGGCAGCTACACGTAAGTGAGCACAGTATACCGCACAGAACTGTTGAATCACTATGTTGTACCCCTTAAACTAACGTCACATTGTGTGTCAACTACACTCAAAAAAGTTTTTTTAATTAGTAGCAACTTAACATCAATAATAAGAATTCTAGTTAAATAGAATAATTCAGCCCCATGGAATAGATAAAACCGTTATTTTTCTAGTGTGGTAGAGACTGTTTAGAGTCACGGAAAAGTTTCATAAATACCATTGGCCAGGCTCGGCCATTATATACATGAATTATTACAGTACCTTGAGATATAACTCGTCCAGGCCTAAAGATTCAAACCTGTTTAGTATACTCAAGTACCGACTTATCAGAGCCATACAGTGGAATCACATAATTGGAAGGAAACTTTGTGATTATCCCCAAGTCCCCCCAATAGTGACAAAGAAAAGCAAGATGTTGATTTAGATTTGTCTTGAGTGTTAGACAGAGCCTTGATTTGGGATACTTTAAAATCATAAGCCTATAAATATCGGACTGGGATTCGATGCTGACCACAAACAAATGGGAAACGTGCAAACTTAGGTTGGCACAAATCGTGTTTCACTATTCCTGTTTTTTGCTGATGTCAAGAGTACATTGGAAAGATTGCCTTGTAGTCTGTAGAGTATGGTTAGTATCAAAGAAACCCCAGGGGTAGGTCTCAGTCCTGGCTATGCCTCACAATTATGTGTGGAGGAACATAAAAACATAGCCGCTTAGGACTCATCTTAGACTCTCTGCTACAATTTCCCTCCCCTTCTGGCGACAATGCTAATCTAGAGTTTTACTTTAACTTTTGACTTGCTTTATGTAGACATGTCCAAAGCAAGAGAGCAAAAAAAAAAAAAAAAAGTATTAGACATGAAATTATGATTTTTTTTTTTTTGCCTACAATTTGGGGACCTATGTTCTCAAGGGACACTGCCCTTTACTCATCACTAAAAGAAATACAAGCCCAACCAAGAGATAGGACTTTCAGTCATGAAAAATAAGACCTTCTTACGAATCAACGATGGTCTCTTTCCTTCGTGAGAATTGTTCCACTTTATTTAGCCAAGAATCAATCACTCAGTCAATAGTAAATTAAATAACAACTATTTAATATATATACTTATTTATATATTAATTCTAGGCTACTACAACAAACCAATTCTCACAAAGGAGAGAAACTCTACCTTTCCATATATATAGAGAGAGAAAATACATATCTACAATATCTGTATATATAAATATATATCTATAAAAATATATAGAGAAATATAGAGAGATAAATAACATATATATGTCATTGCATATGTAATACAAGTTTGCTGTAAAACATTCAGACAGTTCAGAAGTACATGGATTTTTAAATCTCTCCCATCCCTTCATAGGCACTCGCTAGTATTTGAGGTACATCCTTCCAGAGCTTTCTGTAAGTACCCATACATATGCACATATGTATAGGGGTAGTTCTTTAAATGGGAACAAATTACACATAATGACATGCATACTGCTTTTCAAAAACCAGTACTCTGGGGGGTGGGAGCAGAGCGGGGGTGGTGGGGGGG